TGAATATCTGGAACACCAAGTCTTAACACGTTTATCATCATTTATAACACATAATCTACGTTATAAAAATGTTTCTAAACAAGCATTAAAAATAACATTAGCACGTTATTTTCCTGATCGTGCACAATGGATAATTATTGATCCTTCAGCATCATCAAATACAAATCAATCACAAAGTAAAAAAAATAAAACATCAAATGTATCATTGAAAGCATCGAAATCAAATCTTAGACTCGAACCTTATAAATTAACTGATTTATCTGTAATTGGTGTTCTTGAAGGTGAACATTTAACAGTAAAAGATTTTGAAACACCATATGATCAAATTAAAAGACAAGAAATTGAACATGAAAAAAAACAAACACGTTTAAATCGTGAACGTAATCGAACTGAAAATAATCGAAGTCAAACCAATGGATCTAGTGGACGTCGAAAATCACCACAAAATACCATGCGAATTAATGTTGATGATTTTGATGATTAATCAAAAAGAAAACTTCATCTATTTATTGTATTGTTATATGCATATATATATATTTTATACATAAACTAGACTCATTCCAGAGTATATGTTGAATTTTGGTTTTTTTTTAAATAAAACATCCAATGTGATAAGATTTTATGAGTTAATTTCTGTTAGAATTCATGTACTTCACCTAATAAATAATTACAATTGGAACAATAACGAATAGGTTTTTTACAAAATGAGACACAAAATGAAATGAAAATCCGAAAAGAATTGAATAACGTCACAACAGATAGTGTGAAAAAGTACTGGATGTTTTGAAATGTGTATCGACAGTTTCATGGCATTTTGGATACACGACATGGCTGAAGTAACGCGGCCGTTTACCATAGTAAGGAAAAGGTGTTTCTTTTGGGTTTTTCATTATTTAATGCAGCATGCGTAATAAGAATGATGATGAGTTATTTCCAAGAAAGAGCATAGTTTACTTTGAACAACATTTTCCAACTATGGATTTTATTATTGTAAGTAAGTGAGATTTAGTAATGATTGGATAGCTGTAAAATAAGATGGAGATCATTCCTCTGTAGTTTTTTTCATGTGTGGCTTATGGTTCTTGATTTCTATTCATGCTGTTAACATGATGGACTTGCTCATATATATTACAGCGTATTGTTTAATAAAGATTTATTTACCGATGCTTTTTGTGATTTGTCACACATTTTGTTCAGATCATTTTTATGATCAATATAATCAGCTTATCATTATAATTGATAAAGACGAGAAAAAAAAAATCTTAAATTTGCTTTTTTATTTCATTCAAGACAAGCACTATTCAAGCAAAACCAAAATACTTTTGATTTATAATTTCTTGCCGATAAGATGACTAGCATGAAAATACTTCTACGTAATATCTTATATTTCGTCGATTAAAACAAAAAAAGAGTTCCGACGCCGGGAATCGAACCCGGGCCTCCTGCGTGAAAGGCAGAA